GATCTTAAAATTCTCCTTAGCTGTGACTCTTTCCCATCTTTCCTTTAATATCGTTGTTCTTCTCACATAGCCGAGAAACTTGAACTGAACAATGATTGTGCCTCACGGGTTGCAATGGTGAAGCCAAGTTTTGGCGGGTCAGCCAAATTATTGCCACAGGTCACTTAGGTTGCTGACCACTGATTTATAGTATAAGTTTATAAACTAAGTATTAAGTAAGTTACTCCTACGGATTATACACAATACAAATAGCATGCATTTTGTTGTATGGTGGTTGCACTTCCTCTACCATTTATTATTTGAATTCTGCTGTTATAAATGGAAAAATTCAAAATTAATCTCCGTTATAAAAATTTCAATTCTAAATACAGTTTGCTTCCCATATTTAATATTGCCTACCTAAGCTACATATATATACATAAGTTACAACTTAAGTAAAACATTAACAATAACGTGGATGACGGAGAGCTGGGTCCTTCTTCACCATAACCAGGAAGAGAAATACATGCAACAGTTACTACTAAAATATTATTAATTACAAATTTCTAACTCTAAGTAAATCATACTAAATGTAAAACTTGAGTATACACTACTAGTACTACTGTGTCACTACAACTTACAAGTACAACTGGGCGGTAAAAAAACTTGTGTATTAAGTTAAAATTAAATGTACCTTCTTTCGCACCACTCAGCACGATTAAGCAACTCTGTCGCATTGACGACATCCTTCTGATATTCACTAGGTTTGAGCAAATTAAGCTCAACGAACGTAAATATTATTATTATACCTTTGTTTCTTAAATAAAATTATTACACGACATTAATCATATCGCATATCTCGCTTGAAACTAAAAGTTCTCATGATAACTAACTTCAAACCCACTGGGTCATTCCCCTATGACAAGCGACCTCTGTATTAGTTTCTTGTTGAGTTCAATGTCCGAAATATATACACCTGGAAAAAGTTAAGCACCCCCGTGTTTTTTTCAAGTGATTCAGATTCAACGTTCTTGTGACTGATTATAAATTACCTTTCAATCTAAACGTGTTTATCAAATGAAATTATGCATTATTGGACACAAGAAAACAAGATTA